TTTAGTTTCTGCTTTAATCTGAATTGATCTCTTTTATAAATGACTTCTTTTAAGGACTCATAGGAGTTATTTCAAAGCTCTAAATTCAGAATAATCTAACTTTACGGCTCGGTAATAGTGATTTAAACTGAGTCTACTGGCCTTTAACGGGCTGTCTCAGGCTCACCCCTTGAGTTAGGGGCCTTATCCCAGACCGTAGAGGTGTTTAAGTCCTCTTTAAAAACGCATTTATTTGACATGGCTTTTAACATTTTAACCTTAGGTTGAGGTAGAGCACCTTCTTACCTTTTTAACCTTTTTACCTCTTTATTTTACATTAAAATCACATATACATGTAAATTATTTTTACTTTTACCTGTACAGCACTTTGGCAACTTCGGTTATTTTAAATGTGCTCTATAAATAAAGTTTGACTTGACTTATCAGACCACTAAACTGAAAGTTAACGAAGAAGCAGCAAACGGAGACAAAAACTTTTAAACATTACGATTAAATCTGACAGTCTTTGATGTTTTTTCTTCTTGTTTTTATCCCCAGAATCAACGGAAAAGGGCAAAGCTGAAAACCACGCCGGGGACGAGTTATAACGGCCGGAAAACGGCGGGAAAATCACTATTTATTGACAGTTTGAAATGTTCCGTTTCCTTCTTTTTTCCTCCTTTTTTTCTCCCTTTTCCTGGATCTCTGGAAGCTGATTGGATAAAGTTTGGATAATGTTCATTCCCCCCCTTCCCCCCTTTGTCTCTCCATGCTTTTTTGTTTTTTTTTGTCTTCTCATGGACTCTTAAAGCAACAAACATCACAAAGAAGCAGTTTCACCGAAGCAAACGGCTCTGATTGGCCGGTCTGGAGCCCGACTGGCTCTGATTGGTCCGTTTCGATCCTCGTCTCGATGCTTTTAGCTCTCACTTTCCGGACTATTTTTTTTTTTCTTTTTTTTTTAACATCAAGAAAGTCTTTAATTTCCAATAAAAACCAAAGGTTAAACTTTTTATTTTTTTTTTTCTTTTTTTTTTTTTTTTGCTTCAGATGTGGAAACGAAAAGGTTTTAGTTGTTTTTTTTGTTGTTGTTTTGTTTTCTGGGGATCAGAAATCTGAAGTCAGTGACGGGAGATGCAGATGTTTGTTTCTAAACTGTTAATAAAAGATTTTTTTTTAAGTTTGCCATCTGACTTTTGATTTGACTTTAGCTGGTTGTCTTTATTTAAACTTGTTTAAATAAAGAAAACCAGCTAAAGTTAAGGTTTAGCTTCAGTTAGTGCCCTTAACTGGGTTTTTTTTATTTAAAAAATACATAAACTGGAAACTTACCCGTTTACTTAATTTGCTGATAATGAAAAATGTTAATTTGCCGGCTTGATTGTATAAAGAACAAAACTTTTTCTTTCTTTTTAGAAGTTTAAATTGATCATTTCAG